GACTTTTTCCAAACTCTAGAAAATAGCTTTATAACAACAAGCAATTGTAATATAAAGAATCTGTGGTAGGGTGTAAGATCACCAACTCTAATCTTCAAAGGCAGAGTATTTTATGAAATTCTATAAAAAAAATAACTACACCCCAATATCCACTGTAAAACCAACATACTGGCTAACAAATTTGAATAAGTTACCAGATTTGATAGATTTTCCAATCGTAAAAGGTATAAACAAAAAATATTTTGAATTATCACCATGCCTAGACTTAACATCAAACCATCCTCCAGTATTAATATTTCTCCATTTTCAAGTAATAGAAACTGTAAACAACTATACAAAAGTTGACTGGAAAAAAATATTCTCTTTTCATTGAACAACGCATGAAATGCAACGTTCCTCTAAAATCGGCTACTAATATAGAAAATAGTAATAAAGCTTTCAACATACTTCTAACTGAAGTTCTCAACCAATACCCTACCGTTATCAACTGTAAGCAAACAAAAAATTACTTCCAATAACATATCTCAAAAATTTTTAAATTCCTAAGAAAAAAATATCAGTTAACCAGATCATCGGACTTTTCACTATGGAAAGCCACCAAACGGTTGAAAAGACCAACGAAGTTCATGCTACCTATAAAAAAAACATGCAGTAAACGGGCCAGATCTAATAAGGAAAAAATAGTAATTTTTGCCAATCACCTATGTAGCGTATTCAAATCTCATGAAAGAATAATCACTGAACAAGAAGAAAACTTACTAGAAAACTTAAACGCCACCACTCAAGAAGACAGCGGACCGATAAAAATGATTAAAATAACGGAAGTATTTAAAATATTATAATTAATGATTAAATATTACAATAATTAATGATATTGATTACAAAAAACCATCAAAAATTCGAAAAAAACAGATTTTCGACGAATTTCAATATTTTATCTTGACTTCACCTTCTCAAAAAACATCTTTGACTTTCAAATGACCTTAAAAATCGATACCAAGGTCAAACTTATTATTGCAGTTGGATGACCTTCCTTTGTCTTGAATAGCAGTTGTCTGAATATTTTTTGTCGACTTAGAAAAAGAATTTGAATCAATAGATTGAAATGAACCAACCTGTACATATATATCGGCCGTCATATTGACTAGAATCTCGTTGACTATGCCTACATTCTCTGCATAAATAACATTGTTTTACTGTAAATATAATTTCTTTAATCTTTCACGATTTAAATTGCTGTTGATTAGAAATATTAGAATATTTTCAGTCTGTGTTACTCTGAACCTGTTCAAATTTAGATTGCATAAGCTACACGAAATATCTATTCTTCAAAATATTTTATATTGTCGCGCTATAGAGCGACAGAATAAGGAAAATTGTGCTTGATTTCAATATGATAATATCCATTTCTAGTCAAAAAGATTAACCTGTATATACGACCGTATTAACGGTCACTTTCATTGGCAAAATTCCATTGTCTTGAACGTTATCAACACAGCGGCTCTCCGAAGAAACATATACAGGCAACGTGGGGAATTTGTAATTTTTATTTAATAATTATTTATTTTAAAATCTTTGAATTTTTTAAAAAAATGTATAGAAATTTATTCTTCAAGTGTAAATATTTTTTATGATTTCACAAGTTTGTACAACTAAAAACTTACTCAATAATAAATATGAATTTCTCTTTGCTGCCTGCATATTTTTTCTTCTATAAGTTATTAAATAATAACGTTTACAAATTTTAAGAATTTGTTTTTTACGTTTAGTTTGAGTAAAATCCGATCGACTTCCTGCTAGTGGTGCTTATTGGGTAACGCTAAAGTCGACGGTAATATTCATTTTACTCGGATACGAGTTTTCCATTTCGATTTGATCAGAATAAACCAAGAAATAACATTCAAACTCGTGCATATGGCATTTTCAACCTGAGATATCGACCTACAAAGTCGAGTCATTCTACACCGCTGATTTAATGGTAGGATGGATCGAAATTATCAAATTTTTCAAGAAAAAAAGCGTATTTTTAATGCAATTTTGAAAACGTTGTAATACTGTTAAAAATCATAGTACGTCAATTTTTTTTATTTAAGTAGAAAGAGTTGTACTTTAAGATGCACTGATCAGAATTATCGAAAAAAAATCACGCGGGTGTACTGTGAAAGTTTACGATTTTTGAGCTTTAAAAAATGTACTTGACTTTCAAGCTCATGTAAATAGGGGTTGTGCCGCATCAAAAATTGAGTTCCACCATTTCAAAGTAGACATTTTAACCTTTAACTAACAAAAAACATTGATTTCTTTACGACATTTTTTTATTTGAGATATCGGTCTTCGAATTTGTGCCCTTTAATAGTCGGAAATAGGTGTTACGTTAATTTTGTTGCGGAGTGTATATAATAATGTATCTGTTACTAAATATTGATAGGAATTTTAGAAAGTGTAGATTGTATCACCCACCTGTAACTCTTCTAATATCTGTTGTTTGTGTACAATCTGTTCATGTCTGCTACTTTTATCGTTTTCTTGATTATTAAAATCTACTGGTACTTGTAAAGAAGAAGAGGCACGTACATAATCATTTCGCTGCGGAAAACAAGTTTGGCTTACTGCGTTTTTTTCCGAAATATTAGAATTAGTATTTGAAGTTATAGATTGACAAATATGTTGTAATTCGGCTGAACTAATAATTGCATCGGTAAAATTAGGAATCGATCTTGTTTTTCTTAAGATAGACTTTTGATTATAATTCTTAGGAGGTATTTTTGGACTCAATACCGATTCTTGAATGCTACTCAGAGATTGTTGTTCTAGTAAATATTGCGTTGAAATTTGAAGAGGCTGCCGAATAATTTGAGGTGAATTAATAAGCATTGACTGTGACGTATCACGCGAAGAATTGATCATGATACTATGAGGATAATCTAGCAAAAGCTGTACAACATTTGTATGTCCTCCTTTTGCTGCTTCAATTAGCATTGTTGAATTATCCTGATAATAAAAAAGAAAAAAATTGATTTGACAGAAAAATTTTTCTAAGGAAATCGACAATAGTGTAAATGTATTCATCTTACCTTTAATTTATGAAACGGATCTGCTGATTGAGCAAGTAAAAGTTCGACAACAGAAAGATGTCCTCCAGCACATGCTAGAGAAAGAGGTGTATGATCATTATTAGTTGTTTGACGATTCACATCAGCTTTTTTTGATACTAAGAATTGGACTGTACAAAGGTGTCCCGCCCGACACGCTTTCATTAAAGGTGTCCTTCCTCCTTCTGATTCATGTTCCTAATAATATAATAATGATTTATTTATTAGAAAATAATTATATTGCTGAGAGAACTTGAACTGATATATTGAAAAAATATTTTTTTTTAATTTTTTATAAGTCACATATAATTTATAAGCCCATCAAACATTTATGTATAAATATTTACGCTATCTTAACTCTCTAGTGTGATATTATCTTATTTTAAATACAATTAAAGCAAGGGTCAACTAAATAACTGATGACCATCTTCGTATTCTTGGGATAGGCAAAAGTTGGCGTTCTCAAGAATAAATTCGCGCGGTCTGTTTTCGTGAATTGGCTATAGTTGGTTCGCAAATTCTTTCTATATAAAAGATCGTTTTACTTGAAAATTAAACTTTTTTTTCCGTCTTTTTCTATATATGTGTATATCTACAGAAACAAATTTATAAAGTTTTAAAGAGTCTACTTCAAAAATTATGTAGATTTTGCGTTTGCTATATATTCAAAGTAGTAAATATATTCAAAGAGTGTAGATATATTCAAATAACTCTCTCTTTTCTTTTTTTAAGAAAAGCGCAGAGACAATTTTCAATAGACTGAAGAAAATAAACTTTAATATTTTTAGATATATTTGGATATAATAATAAATAAGAAAATTTAAAATTTAATGATTCTTAACAATATATCTTCATGAGACATTTAGATAGAAAGTATATTTTGACAAATGTAACTAATGTCATGAATAATAGTAGAACAATCATAAGAACAGATAAAAATATAGCTATTAACTACAAAATTTTTTGATTTGGCTAAGGCTTCCTCCTACTTCCGTAACTTAACGATTGTCGATACTAAAAGAATCCAGACGACAACTTTTCGAAAATCTAGGCAAGGGAACGTTCTATTATTTCGGAGGAAAACACAAAAGATAGTCCCTTAAGTATGGATATTACTGACTATAATAGTACATTATTTGTAAATAAGTTTTTCATTCTTTACCTTTACGCGTTACGAAAATTTAAGACGTTGAACAAAGAGTTTTTTTTTGTCAAATTTCTTGAATTCTAGTATTTAACAAATTTCTTAGTCAAAAGTATCGCGAGCCATGTTGAACTTATTGATCTAAAGTAAATCAATACTGATTGTGATTATTGTGATTTTTGCGTACAATTGACGGTATTTTCGATTTGAAATCATGAAACTTCTCATCTGATTTCGTCGCTCGAAATAAATGACTCACAATCAGTAAAGTGATGTCACGTGAGTTTTCAGATATAATCAGTGATAAAAACAAACTTCTTGATTTTATAATACTAAACCTTATTACACTTGAAACAGATTCGACAAGCTGCTACCAATTTTTAAAGGGGAAGGGCAAGAGAGGCATTTTTGCTTTAAATGCAATCGAGAGAGTAGACGAGGAAATGAACCACATTCAAGAGTTTCAAATTGACAAAACCTTATTATTACTTAACAAACAAACGCACGCTTAAACTAGTTACATTAATTAATTTAACGCTTACAACATTATGTATATTAATCAAACACAAACGAAATTTATTCTAATACTAAAAAGAAACCGAAAAACGAAAGACCTTGCCAAGTAACCGGCAAGTGAACGCCTGGTTACTGCGCACTTACACCTAATCGCGATACAAATTATGGACGGCGAGAAGTTGAACAAAGGAGCCGGCAAGTTATCGCCTGGCTATCTATGATTTTGCGCGGCCACACATCTCTGAGAGAGAGAGAGAGAGAGAGAGAGAGAGAGAGAGAAATGACCTGACCTTTATAAATCTCCTTGAGGATTCCTGGGAAGCGAAAGTATCAGTGGTATCGGAGGTCGATCGCCGAGCTTTTCACTGTCGCTGTTGCTATCGGCATTAATAGGTGTCGAGCCGAATGGGATGACGGGCTGATTCCCGTAAATCTCTGTTAATTTTGCGTTAACAAACACGCGCACTGCCTAACACTCGCAGGAACAACCCAAATTACAAAGCAGGCAGGCCGGCCCATCAACTCTCTTCTCAAAGGTCACCAATCGATTATTGATGCAGCGCGCGGCCAGTGTATGCGTACGAGCTCTCGCTCTCTCTCTCTCTCTCTCTCTCTTTCTCTCTCTCTCTCTCTCTCTCTCTCTCTCTCTCTCTCTCTCTCTCTCTCTCTCTCTCTCCCTCTGTCTCTCATTTTCTAACTCTCTCTCTTTCTCTCTCTCTTACTCTTCGGGTCACCTCGACGGGATGCAATTTTCAAGGGCTGGAAAAATACAAAGGCCATTAGTTAGGCGCTACACTAAAATGCGGCCAACGCTGGCCACTCTGCCTTTCCGAGCAAGAGGGAGAGAGAGAGAGATACAGAGAGCAGACGGAAGCAAGCATCTTACTCTCGTCACAACTCCACCCAAGGCCAAATCTCTCACGACGGCCTAGCTCTCTGCCCTCATTCTCTCTCTCTCTCGATCGGCAACTCGCAGCCAGCGCTTAGTGCAATATAAAATAATAACCCTAATAAAAATAATAATAACCCTAATCGATTGCTTAATTCTAACTTATTTTGAAACTTAAGTCTAACTCGGCAGCAGCCGTAACAAAACTAAGTGCAAACCATTCGTCTCATAACTAAATGGGGAAGAATAAAAAAATAAACCTCAATACGTCATGATCATGAGCAATTTGAATAAAAATAATCAACAAATCAGAAAGAAAAACCTTACCTTTTTATTATTACCGCTCTAATGACTCCAAATACCGGAGCCTAAACGTCCGAAGTTCTTCTGCCGTCGGTGACGAGGCATTAGCTCCGGAGAGTCGAAGGCCAGCAACCTTAATCGCCTCGGACCTTATCACCCCGGCGTCCCGACCACTCGTCTCACTCGCGGATACTGGCGCTTACTTCGTCTGCGGCGCGACCTCAACTTGCGTCGCGCTGATCGTAGTAGCTTCGGCCCATCTCCTTCTGCGGCAAGCGCTCTAGATCTATGTGCGAGCTTTTCGCGGAATCGCTTGCCGCACCTGTGCCTAGGCTTTTTCGCCTTAGGCTCTTCGACGGAGGACTCAGGACTCGAGGGAACGGAAGATCAAGAAGTTAGACGCTTTTTCAAGAATGTTGGATTTGTAACCACCAGCATTTATTAAGTTCACTTTTGGTTATTTCGAACGAATATTAAACGAGAAGTTATTCGTGATTATTATATTTTTAATGACACTTTCTAACTGTAAAAATGTAAAGCTTTCATATTCCTCTATGTCCATATAAACTGTCTACAATTGTTTACTATCACAAGCAATGGCACGCGCAATAAATTACTATTTTCAAAAAATATATATAAAAACTGAAAATCTGCTTTCCCAGTAATGTTTATTAAAAATTTCTGGCATCGCCCCAGAATCCTTTGGCTCCGGCTCTAAGGTTTCCACCTGTAAAGTCTTGAACCCTACCGGTTCACTAGGGCGAACCCGAACCCTTGCCTCCTTCACTGTTCTCCTGCGCGCCTGTTCTGCCTTAAAGGCATCACGGCTACGCAGGCATTCGTGGACCAGAACGTCGAGTCGCCTGCAAGTCCTATAAGACGGACGTGCAAGAGGCGGGTTCCTGCAGGCTGACCTTGGATGTACCCCCGTTCTGCAATTAAAACAGCGGAAAAATGGTACGCCCAACTCCTGATTCCAAGGAACTGGAGCCAAGCTTTGCAGGAAACTCCCCCGTATCAACCGGAACCCGGTCTCATCTACCCAACACCGTAACGCGGAAGGCGAGGCCGAGCTCGCTGCCTAAGAAGACGGGGCAGGTTGTACCAGAATAAGGGCTGATCGTTCCGGCACGATCAGCCACTCTACATGGGACCGGCAGCACCACAACTTCCTCCCCTCTGTCCACATCCCTCGTCTTTTCGATAGCGGCGCCCATCCTTATTTCCGAGTTTCCTTTTCCGTCGGTCGCCGAAGACACCTGTGGCTTAAGCTTAAAATTGCACGCGGATTGGTTGAAACGCATTGAGTGTTTCTTCCTACCCTATCCTCCTACTCCTATTGTTCTGAAGGCCTTAGCCTCCTTTTTCCTGTCGTCCTCCACGTATTCCGCTGCAATAAAACCGCACGGGCCTGCTCCTGCGGACGAATTGCGGGGTCCAGCCTCTGTTTCGCGAGAGACTTAAAAGGGAGAGGAGCATATACATGTAGCTGCGGGGTTATGAATTTCATTGTTCTTATGATTACTGAATTATATTAACCAAAAAATACTATAATAAAATTGGTCATGAAATTATTTATGTACACCCGCCGAAAATTGGATCTGGTAAAACGTTTTGAAACGAAAAACAGGATTTTATTGGTCCTTTCTCTTCAAATGGTTGCATATGATTAGTAGTTTTCCAAACGTTCCACGAGATAAAGCGTCCGCCAAGTGAAGATGGAGGCATGGAAGAACGTACAGAAAAACATCAGTGTGGACATCACGAATGGTATGTCTGTGATTAACGCTTTAACGTGTAAATGGCCAAAATTTTAACGTCAACTTCAAGCTCATGCCTTTCAATTATAACCCGTGTGGAAAAAATATTGGGTGTATAAAAGTCTTATCTTTCGAATGGCATCGTCAGATTTATTAATAAATGAGCACAAATTGTTTATTTTTAAAAATAAACAAAAAAAAGGAGAATTTCGATTTTTTTTTAATGAATTTTTTTAACTATGTTCTCAGCACTCAAGAACATTCTAACACATAAGGATGTGGGACCCGAAAGTTGTGCTTCAAAAATATACTTTGACAAACTTTGTTTTTTATTGTTAAACAATCCAAAATGGCGCCCGAATGCCTGGAATTATTGCAAAATCACAGTAATGTGCACTTTTGAAGTATAATCAAAGTTTTAGCGGGAAAAATGACTTTTCTCAGTCTTGTGTTGATCTAAAGTGACTATCACGGGATGCCGGAAGACGAAGGACAGCTACTACGTTTTCACAGCGGCGCAGCAGAATGACGTACGAGACATGACGCGGAACGTAGCTCTAAACATTCTGGACCTGGATTACGTCAC